ATTTCCCTTCCATTTGACACTAGGAAATTCAGGAGAATTTTTTGATTTTTTTTCCTCACCTTCCACCTGAATATGATCATGATTAATATTTTTTGTATCATTTTGTTTGCCTCAACCAAGTGAAAATATATGTGAAATGATGAAAAAATAAATAAATAAATTGGCTTTTCTTTGTCTTGCACACTGAATTCATCAAGGTTGACTCAGCCTTCTATCCTTCCATCCTTCCAAAGTGGGTAAAATGAGGATCCATATTGTTGGGGGCAATATGCTGACTCTGTAAACCACTTATAGAGGGCTGTAAAGCACTGTGAAGTGGTATATTTTTCACACTATAAGATGCTCCGGACTATAAGATGCACATTAGCTTTAGAGGAAGAAAATGAAAAAAATCTGCCACGGCCTCCCAGCATCCATCTGGTATTCATCAGCAAACAGCCTGCCTCCTCCGTGTCTGCTGCCTCTGCCAGGGAACACTGGAGTCTCCGCTGCCGAGCACTTGATTGGAGGTTGGATTGGCCTCCTGGAATACCAACGCCTATCACCGCTACCCATTTGCCACCAATTGCCTCCGCCTGTTCGCTGCCAATTGATAGGTGGCGGTGAACAGGTGGCAGCGAATAGATGGCAGCGATCCCCACCACCTACAAGAGCTGTTTGGCAGTATTCCAGGAGGCCGATCCAACCACCAATCAGCTGCTCGGCAGCGAAGGCCACAAACCCACCCTTTGCTCCCACCACAATATTCACTCTAAGACGTACAGACATTTCCACCCACATTTGGGGGGCGGGGCGTGGAGGATGAAGTGTGTCTTATAGTGCAAAAAATACAATAAGTGTTTTTGCTCTTGAGGAAATAGCACATTTGGCTGTATTTTTAATTAATAAATCAGAAACTCTTAGAGCATATTTAAACTAGAAAGTTTAAATAATTTTGAAGTTTTAAAATAGGACTCTTCTGTGACTTCTGTTGTCTAATCATCTGCACAAAGTTCTGTAAACCAGTATTTTCTTCACCTTGCTTCCTAATTTAGGTATGCAGCTTATTAGATGTCTGGACTGAAACAGAATGTTGTATATAAGAACATATTTCTCAATTCAAAAAGTAATAAAACTCCCAATTCAATTGTGTTTGGTACTCCCACAGCCAGAGACATACATTTTAACATTCTAACATCTTCTGCAATGTCTTGCTGGATGACTACTGCTGGCAGATAAACAATAGAAAGCACAAAGATTTAAAATATGTGAATCCCCCAAACCAGTTTCTATGTAGCATGTCAATGGAAGGCAAAAAGCACATCATATCTAATAACTTTAGGATGCCAATCAACATTTTTTGAAAATAAATATAATGGAATTTGCCATATTTAGAACTGAATAGGGAGGGGGAATTAAAAAAATAAAAGATTGTACAGTATTCCGAAAACACTGTCTCTTCTTGTTTTATTACTTTTCCATTCTGCAGCACTTCCAAACCAATGTGGTCAAACAAAGATGCATAAATCTCCTTTGCTTTTCCCTCCTCCTTCTTCTCTCTAAAGCTTAATAATTCTGTAACCGTTTTTATCCAAACCACTATGGTTTGGCTCCAGAACACAATCTCACTTTTTTTTTTAGTGTACTGCTTTGAAAGAGATGTAAAAGTGTGTGTTTATCACTAAAATAAGAACTGCTCATCCATTCTCCAAAACCAAAGGAGAGAAAGAAGAAGGTACTGTGACTTTTCATAGTTAAAATCAATGGGATGTGCAAGAATCATTGCTGTTAAGCTTTTCCACACGCAATTATTCTGAACTTATTAGAAGCTGGACTTTAACAATTTGTTAACACTTGAAAATACAGCAAGGCATATGTCTGTTCATAGAAATTGTGCCATTATGTAAATGTGGTTGGGATAAGAGTTATTTGATGTCCACAAATGTTTCTAAAACATTCCCCTTGTAGAAATCAGCAAATGTGAATTGTTAGCTTTTTGATGCTATGGCCAAACAGTTTTATTTTCTGCTGAATTACCAACTCCATCTATCAGTAGGAATTCCACAATTACAAATCAGGAGTTTTCAAACGTCATTTAACTGTGTTGTTTGTAATTGACTTTAATTCCTTTAAAGCAGACACTACATAGGAAACTAAAAGCATACTTTAAAAAAACACCCAACATGCCCCCCCCACCAATGAACAACTTCTTTCACCATTGCTGGAGAATACAAACGAGCATTCAGATGGTATCATCTATATTAGAACTCCCTTCCACCTATCTAATTTTATACTGAATATCAGTCAAGTCATTGTCAAGACAGTGGTGGGTTGAATAGAAAGTAACTTGAAATGGAAAAATAGAGAATATATATGGGACAAAATCCACATTATAAATACTGGTAACAGCTGATAATGAGACACTGTTTCAGTGGCTGGGGTTCAAAGAGGCAGTTGTTGTGTTTGCAATAATTTAACAAAGGACAAAGAAAGAAAACTAAAAACACTAAGAAATTGCACAAAGGCTTGAGTTTCATATAATGGCTCAAAATCTTTTTATTTTATCACAGAATTAACCCAACTTTAAAACCATTGTATTTTGCATAAAATATATGCATTTTAAAAATAAAGTATTTAAAAAGACTTGGGAGGTATGTGAACTGTGTGTCTTTTCTGTGCTGTAAAATTAATTAGTGGATATTGAAAAGGAGAAATCAAAGATATATGTAAAATAGTACATGCTCTTAACCATTAATTATTACATTAATGGCATATTCCAAACAGCTTCTTAAAAGTGACAGATTGGGATCTTAGAAACCTGTCTTCAAATCCCAATCTGATCATGGAGTTCAATAGGTGACCAACTACCTTCACTGTGAGAATATTTGAAATGTTGTGGAGAGATTGCTCCTTACTGGTGTCTTGCAACTCCAATCCCTGATGATAAATTCACTGCCAAATCTTGGGTGAAGAGCAACAGCATGAGTCAAGAATTGCAGTGGTCTCTTGTATCACTTTAACTGCTAGAGCCAGTAGCAGATAATCTAGGAATCAGTCAGAAAACCAATTTGGCTGCATGGAACATTTGATGTAACAGATTCCAGAGCGGTGTTTTTCAGCCTTGATAACTTCAAAATGCAGGGATTTCAACTCCCAGAATTGAAGCTGGCTGGGAAATTCTAGGATTTGTACTCCACACATCTTCAAGTTGCAAAGATTGAGAAATGCTGCTCTAGAGACTGAATACAAAAACCTGCCAATTAAAAAAATAACACAATCTAATATTCCAAACTATTCAGGACTTTTTGCTACAGAGCTCAAAGTTGAAATCTCCAGAAATGAGCAAACAAAATACTTCTATTGATTTTTTTCCCATTTAGAAGACAGAATGCAAAAAGTTCAGGAAAACATGTTTTTGAGGGCAGTAGGCGACACAATGCCAAAACAACAACACAACAACTGATTTCTGATGATTCTATGATTCCCTTTAGCTGAATCACAGCAGGACAGAGAAGTATTTACTGTTTTCCTTTTCATTCCATGCAAACAAGGCATGGTTTCTCCATAGCCATTACATTTCTATTATTTATCATAATAACAGGAGATTTTCCTTTCTGGACCCATTAGAATGCAGCATTTCAAATACACTGTCTAAAGTAGCTCGCCTACTGTTACTTATACATGATAACAATCAGCTTTTTTTCATTTTATATATAGATTTTATCTAACTTCCCATACAACAGAAAGTCGCTAAAATCAATGCCATTGATGGTACTCCCTTCCCTATCAGTGTAAATTCATGAGACATATTTGGATCCTAACATGAATTGATATTTAAAAATTTGCTAAGATTTTAGATGAAAATCTTTTTCAGTCAATTTTCCCTCTCCTACTCATTGTCTATATCAGGGATGTCAAACTCGATTTCATGGAGGGCCACATCAGGGTTGTGTTTAACATCCAGGGGTTGGGATGCACATGTCCAGGATGGGTGGGAAAGCTCAATGGCATTTGTGTTGGGGGCGCTGTGGTGACCTGAGTGCTCTGCCAGTGAAAACGGGCTCCTGCTAGAGAAAACAGAGCTCAGGAGCCCGTTTTCGCTGGTAGAAGCACCGTGGGCCAGTCCTCCACTGTTTCCAGGGTGTCCCCACGGGCCAGATCTAAGTACCCCAGGGGCCAGGTTCGACCCCCAAGCCGTTAGTTTGACACCCCTGGTCTATATTATTTCAACATTTATCTTATTCAAGCATTCAGACCATTATTCTGTATATGCACCAGAACTACTGGATTCTGAACATAAATTCAAAATATAATATATTTTTTTAATTTCACGATATATAGATATAGACTTCCTATTACAAGCCTGGAAATCAACAAAAAGTGTCCCTTTTTGCTGGCAGACTCTCACCTCTCATTATTGCTGACAAGGGTATGCAAAATATTACACTGCTGGTGGGCAAATGAAAGAAAATGCAACAGAACAAATGGTAATGAGAAGGGACTTGAGAGAGTATGGCATGTCGAATTTTTCAACTTTCAATTTCCAAACATTTCTTGATTGTTGTTGGTCATCCAGAGTCGTGGGAACCAGATGGGATACAACATTAATAAATAATAGTTAAGTATTAATAAATAATACTTAAGTACTCCTTTTTGTTTCTTCTGACATATATTTCATTGCATATAACAAAACTGGCTTAAACATTGCTTCTAAAAGTTAATAAATATTTATATAGTATATATAATATAATAAATAAATAATCTTAGTAAATATGTCACCAAGATACAAAAATCATATTTGTACACTAAGGGTTTTATTTTCTGATTTTTGTATAATCTGAAATAATTCTTTCACAATTTTCTTGTCAAACACAACTACTTTTATGTTTGATACATTAATCTTCCAACCCATGCATCATACAATTTATTTAATAGTTGCTGAAAATTATTCAGGTTTCCAACTAATAACACATCTTTGCATTCAGAAGTAGAAGTACCTTAACATCCTCAGTTGATTAACCTCAATCCTCATCATAAACATTACCTGCATATTTACCCATAAAAACATTAAACAACAAAGGAACCTTCACCCATTGTTTATTTTGTATTCAATTAACTGTAACATTTATTCTCAATATATTCTACTCATCCATCAACCTTTCTATTATGTACTTTCTATAATGCACAAAGAATTATACATTTCAAATTTATTTCGTTTACAAGTAGTCCTTGACTTACAACAGTTCATTTAGTGACCGCACAAAGTTATAACAGCACTGAAACAAGTGACATGACCATTTTTTCCTCTTGTGATTGTTGCAGTATACCCATGGCCACATGATCAAAATTTAGATGCTTGACAACTGACTCATATTTATGACATTTGCAGTGTCTTGGGGTCATGGATCAGATTCTGCAACCTTCTGACAAGCAAAGTCAATGGGAAAACCAGATTCACTTAATAACCTTGTTATTAACTTAACAATTGTGGCATGAAAGACATAAAATGGGGCAAAATTCACTTAGCAACATAAATTTTGGGCTCAATTTTGGTTGTAAGTTGAAGACTACCTGTATTATGTTTTCTTTGAATTACAAAATAGCATAATAAATCTTTTTCTCACTCACACATTAATCCATTATATTCTGGAAAGAATCTTTATTTTTATGCACAATCTTTATTCATCTACTACATCAGTTGTGGGATTCCAATTTTTTTACTACCGTTTCTTTGGGCGTGGCTTGGTGGGTGTCGTGTGGTTTGGTGGGCGTGGCAGGGGAAGGTTACTGCAAAATCCCATTCCCTCCCCACCCCACTAACCTACTTTTCCAGCGCTGTTCTCCTGTACAGGGCAACAAAAGAGGACCCAGCCGATCAGCTGGCACTCAACTGAGACAGGGGCGGGGCCAGTCAGAAGTGGTATTTGACCGTCCTCCGAACTATTCAAAATTTCCGCTACCGGTTCTCCAGAACCGGTCAGAACCTGCTGAATACCACTTCTGTACTACATTCTCTACATTTTGCTTGTAACCTCTTCTTTAGCAACTAACACCCCTGTAAAGTCTGATTTGATTCTTACTATCTTTACCTTTTGCATAAGGGAGTAGCAATAGTATTTTTTTAATTGTCACATTCAGATTCAATCTCTGTATACATGTTAAGCACATCAGTCACTCCATAAGCAAATCACATCCATTCTCCAGTTACTTTATTGATACTTACAATCATACTATATATCTTTGTTAACACTTATGACTTGTTTTCATTATTTTTCACTGGATACTAATGTAAAGAATATTTTTGTAAATTCTGCCTTCAACATATCACTATTATTCCAAACACACCTATAAAATTCTCCTTTCCACATTCCCTTACTTCAGTTTTATCCAAAAACATTTCATTAATTTTATGTCTAATACTATTTAGTCTAATACTGGCTACTTTTTATATTGTAATTATTAACATACAGAAACAATAAATGCATTTAATATAACTTTAGAAACTCAATCAAGGTTATATTTTCTAATGTGGGTAGAGGGACAATCTCTGTAGATCAGTGGTGTCAAACTCATGGCTCATGGGTCGAGTACATCACGAGCTGCCCCCCCCCCCGGCCTGGTTTAGTGAAGGGGAAAAAAGTCCCGATACATCACTTGACACCCCTGCTGCAGATATACATGATATCAATGAATTTTATTATTATAAGGCATTCATATGCTTTATTTGTCAGTAATTTTATATGGCCTTTTTAGCAGTTCCAGGAAAAATGTACAAAATTCCATTCCAATATTTTCCTGGTCCAATAGATAAGATTATAATACAATCACTAGCTTGGTGTCACTCAATATGTTTCCATGAGGATGGCTTGAATCCAGATCTCCACCTAACATCTTTTCCAGTATTGCAGAGCTGTCATTTGGAATATGTTTTAAAAAGGATAACCATTTTAATGCAATAAAAAACTTACCAGCTATTGCTCCTGCCAGAAGCAAATAACCAGGAGCCACCTGTCCATCTTCATTTGCAAAAGCAGACTTTGTGTGAGCATAACAAGGAAAGTAAATTGCAGAAAAGGGAATGTCACGAAGGAAACAGGCTTTGGCTCCCTAGGAAATGAACAAACAAATGTAGAAAGTAAAAACTCTGTAGTATGAACAAGTAAAAATATAAGAGGATCAGTGGTGGAAAGGATTTAGAGCTAATCTTGGGAAAGGTATGGGGAAGCCATAAAGGAAGGACTCGGATAACAGATTACACCATTCAAAGATTGAAAAAAATGTGAGAAAACCACTGAAGGATTCAGCAAAAGTAGCAAACACATGCTTCTTTTGTCCCTATCCCATGAAAAGTCAAGTATAAGAGTAATTAAGATACATTTTACCTTATAGTCATTCTGAAATTCAGAAAGAAATGCCTCTGGATTATCTGTAGTCTAAAGAATGCATATATCTGAATTTCCATTACTCTATTATCCCTCCCACTTCAGGGAGACCATTATAAATTTCCAGATTTAGATTGAGATCAAAGGATTGTTGTGGGTTTTTTTACAGGAATGATCACACTACTTCCTCAAGGACCACTATTTTATGATGTAATGGTTTCTTCATTCTCTGGACTCACCTTTATATTTTTAACAACCAGGTTCAGGTGAACTGACCAGGTTCACATGAATCAAGAATGATTGTTAATTGTCTGTTCATCATTTCATAGGACTAAGAATTCAACAGAATCACTTGCTTTAGCTACTGAGAAATATTTCATCCTATTCAGGAAATCATTAGATTCTATAATTCTTTGAAGGTGGATATGGAAAATTAAATCTTCTTGTCTAACCTAGATACAGATCTTATAACATAACACAGAGGATACAGATTTCCAGATAAGAAGAATGGGAGGGAGGGGAGGGGGTGGGATGGAATGGGAATGGAATGAGAGGGGAGGGGAATGGAATAGAATAATTGGAGGGGACCTTTGAGGTCTTCTATTCCAAGCCCATGGTCAAACAGGGGATTCCTTTATCATTTCAGACAAGTGGTTGTCAATCTCTCTTGAAACAATTTCACCTCCATCAGATTTTTTGATCTATGTGGACGTGGTATGGAATAACAGACAATCATAGCGTCTCCTAGATTACTGTCTCACATCTCAACAATGCATTTCAAATCCACCTCTGAACCATAATTAAATCACAAATACAGTTGTTATATTTCTTGTTATAAAACAGATGGAAATTAAATAATAGCATCTTCAGGGCAGGGAACGTAGTTGGTCCCCATTTTCATGGCCTACAGGAAACAGTTGAAACAAGGCACTTTCAAAAGGCCTTTGGGAGATTAATACTACACAATTTTTCATAATTGTATAATTATAGTCATTTACCTCTAGTGATTTTAAATAAATTCATTCTGAATTTATACTCTGTTTTTATTATCTAAATTTTATACACTGCCAAGAGCTTGGATAGTTCCAGATGGTTGGATACATTCAACAATGAATAAATAGTAGCTAAATGTTTATGACTTTGGATGTGGTACAATTTTGTCTAGGAAATTGACTAGGAAATTGTCCTTCTTCTGATAACTCTATATTTCCTTATGTCATGCCTCCCGTTAGAACTTAACCCTAATACAAAGAAAAATCTCAATACACATAATTTGCCTATCTCAATAATGGAATCTCACCAGATTCCTAGCTTCAACAAACTCTATTGGTTTGTGCAGCCATATAAAGGATACAGCCAATCACATTCTGACTCTAATTGGTGGACACCACCCATTTCCGAGTCTCATTCAGATCTACTCTATCTTCTCCATATTGAACTTACAGACATAATTTGCTTTGCTACCAAAAAGAAGTTTAATAGTTTATGTAAATTTGCTAACCCTCAATGCTACTTCTTAATACTACTGCTGTTGTAGATAGATAAGGAAGGACACTGATGAGGTTTTACTTGAGAGTAGAGTAGAGGAAATAGACATTGGAAGTCTCCTGGTTTCTTCTCTTGTTAGTATGGAGGAGAAAGAATGAACCAAGATAATCCCAAGATTCTCTATTGACAGCCTACCTGTCCAGGCAAACAAGACAAATCTGAAGAAAAATGCTGCAGCATGAAGTAGTTCCATTTAGTATTCCAACTTTTCAGGATATTTCTTTTGTAGGATTTGCACCAGTTGTCCAGTCAGATAATATTTCATGACGCTTAAAATCTACATTGCCCTGGAGAATCCATAAACAGTGACAGGAAGAAATTTTCTTCCCAAAGATTACAGAAATCACATCATCTAATTATCTTCATCATGACAAGATGTTATGTTACACCTGCCCATCCTGACAGATTCATGGCAACTTAAAAATATAAAAAACCCAGTTAAAACAACGGCACTCAAATCTTAATATCACAATAGGGGCCACACAATACACTAACTCCAGGCCTAAAACTAAATATAGGTCAGAGAGAGAATGCCATCAAAATCACTAGAGGGTGCTGTTCCAGACGGCAGGTTCCATGGAAGGAAAAAAGGGCAAATTTCCCTAATCCCAAAGCATCTAATCTATCAAAATGTATTGGACAGGAAATGTGGGGATAGATGATCCCCTAGATATCTAGGCTCTATATCATGAAAAGCTTTGTAAGCACCGATCGACACCTTGAATTTCACTCAGAAGTTTGTTTTTTTATTTTTTATTTGATTTGTCAATCGCTTACAATATAATAAGAATAAGTATAAGCATGAGTAAGAATACAGGAAATAGGTAATAAATGGGGACAATAGGACAGGGACGGTAGGCACGATTGTGCACTTATGTACGCCCTCTTAGGAATGGGGTGAGGTCAATAGTGGATAGTTTAACTTTAAAGGAGTGGGGGTTAGAGGATGTAACAACAGAGTCAGGTAGTGCATTCCAGGCATTAACCGCTCTGTTGCTGAAGTCGTACTTTCTGCAATCAAGTTTGGAGCAGTTTACATTGAGTTTGTATCTGTTGTGTGCTCCTGTATTGTTGCGGTTGAAGCTGAAGTAGTCATTGACCGGTAGAACATTGTAGCAGATAACTTTGTGTACTATGCTTAAGTCCAACGGTAGGTGGCATAGTTCTAGGTTGTCTAAGTCCAAAATTTCATGCCTGGTGGTGTAGGGTATTCTGTTGTGAGCATAGGAGTGTAGTACTCTTCTCATGAAATACTTCTGGACTTGCTCAATTGTATTAATGTCCGATATACAGTGCGGATTCCAGACAGATGAGCTGTATTCGAGTATTGGCCTAGCAAAGGTTTTGTATGTCCTAGTTAGCAATTCAATATTACCAGAGGAGAAGCTTCGTAAGATTAAATTTACAACTCTTAATGCCTTTTTGGCAATGCTGTTACAGTGAGCTCTGGCGCTTAGGTTATTCGATATGAGTACTCCAAGGTCTTTGACAGAGTGAGGGTTGCCAACAAGGTCATAGCCGCCTAGCTTGTATTTGGTGTACTGATTTTTTTTAACCAATGTGTAGGACAGAGTTGACTAGCTGTCAATGCAATTCACTATAGAAGCAGTGATAAATAGGCACACTGAGAAGCACTCATGTTCCAGTTTGTGGATAGTTTTCAAGAGCAGCATTATGTAGAGTGCGCTGAAATAATTTAGTTGCGAGATGACCAGGGTCTGCAAGTAAATCCGGGAGCTTCCATAAGCCTACTGATACTTCTCCATTTTGTGGACACCAGTAGTTTGAGTAGAAAGAATTAACATGGGGAAAATGAGTTAGCAAAGGATAAATTCTAAGAATTTGCCATGAAACTTCGTATTAGTCTGTTGAATTGTTCAGCAGAAAACACAATTCTGAAATTATTTGTCAATTATTCGTCAGCTTGACAGGTCTAGACAAAACTTATTTTCAATATTTATTTTGCTTCCATCTGGATCATCATTTCACTCTCTTGGAAGTAGAGTTTAAGTACTTTCATTTAAAGTGAAAAATATAGTTAGTCAAACTCTGCATTATCCTTAGGTTTTTGTTTTAATTCTCTGCGCTGTCATTATCAGTTTAAGAAAGCTCTTATTTTCTAATGGGAGACAAGATGCTTATTGGATTTTAATGATGCACTCAAATACCTCTGTTGCTTTTCCTCATGTGCTGCATGGATTAAGATATATTTATTTATTAACGATTGTTACACCCTGCTCTAAATCTGAAGGACTTTCAATGGTTGATGAATTTTGGCTAGTTGCATTCTTAAATCTACTTATTTTTACAACTAGTCATATGGGCAGCTATTCTAGAGAATCTTGCTATATTTATTTCCACATGTTCTACATGGAAATTCACAAAGCCTATGTACTTGCTTGTGTTCTTCTATGCAAGTTGGTGAAATAAAATGACTGGTGGGGGAAGGGCCTCCTCAATACTTTCTTGCACTTTCAGAATCTGAATCTGAAGGAAGAAGATGTCCATTTTTTTGTTTTAAAGAATTATTTTATTTATGATATTTCAGATTCCTTTCCCATAGCCTTCCTTAATTGTCATTAGCTGGTTGCAGTTGATTAATCTGAAGGTAAATGAGACCTGCCTTTAAACATACTTTCCCAGAGTTTAAAACAGAAGGGTGAGAGGAAACTTGAGATGGTAGAGAGACTGGCATAGAGCCAAAGTTTGTGGTTAATATAGTGGATCATTTGATCTTGCTTTGTTTACACATAAACCACTTAGGTCTGGTAGATATTTTATTTCGTATGTCTGAAAGCATGTAACCAGGGGTTCTTTATAAATTATGTTATTTCCATCTTTGAAAGAAGATTACTGTAAAAATAAAAAGCCATTTTAAACATTTTAAGTTGGTCATCTTTTTATTACAATTATATTCTGTCCTCTCCTAGGGATTCCGAAAAGTTAAAGTACACACATTTATTGTGCTAGGTTTGATCCAGATTTAGGAGGCTGAACATTGTAGGCCTGAATCCTACAAAAGAAAGGACCAAGTATATCCAAATGCCAATCGATTAATTAATCAATCAATCAGCATAACAAATGCATCATATGAAGCTGAATCATGACTTCATTTTAAACTGTTTAAACTGTGCTCTCAAACTAAGGCCTTTTCAGATGATAGCCTTTACTAATACTCATTTGGATGCAATATACCAACAAGCAGCTTCAATTGTTCTTGATAAAAACTCAGGATTATCTACCTGATGATAGTTTGGCAACTTGGGCACAGATCTGCAAGGCATGACACATTTTCCTCAAGGCCTGCTTCTTCTTCCTGCCTGATCACTAGCTCTTCACTTTCCCTCACATTTCTCTAAGAACTCCTCAGAAGTTTTTTACTTTTGGATTGTATCTTGATGCATAACCAACAGGAAAAAAAACCACCCTGAACTGTCAGAACTTTGGACAATCAGTTCAGCTGGGACAGATTCTTTAGCTTGCTAATTTCTGTTTATTTCAGCCTTACCTGCAAATAAATAAATAAGGATTTAAATAAATTATTTCTACTACAACAGGAGGGTAATTACATTCACAAAGGCACCTCTGTGTCAGATCTCTGCACAAGGAGCCAGAAGGTCTGGGAGACGAAGGCTTAACTTAGTCTCCTGCAGTGAATGCACATTGTCTGGTGCAGGGGGAAAAATGCCAGACTGGTGGGACCTCGCAGAATTCAAGGCAACAGAGGTACACCTTGTCTGAGAGAGTTATTTAATGCTTCTGGCACCTGTACTTACCGCCATCCCCTCTTTTCCTACCTTACAGATTTAGAATTTATTTGGCATGTATAATTGTTATTTTGATCCTATAGCAATAAACAATAGGCAGCATGTCATTTCTTGATCCGTTAGCATTCTTCTTGGGTTTCACCAGCAACTTAACCCTTCCAATTCAGCCATGAGACAACCTCTTTTTACACTCCTTTCTTCAAGTCATCTTATCTTGCTTTAAATGCTCCAGTTAGAGGTTTAAAAGTTGGAATTGACAAATCAAGAATTGGTGATTTGTTTTTGCTGTCAATGCCAAGTAGGTTTACAATGAATGGCTAAATAACGATGTTTGCTTTTGTAAACTGAAATTGAAAAATGAACAGTTTTGAAATCTTGGACTTTGCCTATTTTTTAAGTATAGTCTGAATAGAAAGATCCAATGTCTTGCATATCTTGTAAAATATTTCATTTATGATTAGATAATAATATACAATATAACTATCTTCCTAGTTCATATCAGATTAGTTGTTTTGATTTCACATCTAATTCTCAAAATATTTTCGACAAATTCTTCAAGTCAATTGCAAGCAGTAACATTTTTTTCTTGAAAGATTATTGTGAAAAAATTACACTGAATTAAAAGAATGTTGGTAAATGAAAAATAATGCAAAATATCCTATCTGGTTAGAAACAGAAAAGAAATTAAACAAAAAAGTGATTTTCAAATTTTATGACCTTCCCTGAAATACATTTTTGTAAACAAGAATTATTTGTACATCTATTATATAAAAGCTGAATCAAATATAAAATGAAATTATGTGTTCCTTGAACTTCTATAAATACTTACTCTCTATATTATTAAACTTGTGGTTACTGTCACTATCATCATCATCAGTCATTGACAGTGAAATCTTGAATTTTTAATTAGTAAGTTACTGCTCTTACTACTAAATTAGTAATTAATTACAATTAATTAAATCTAGAAAGTTAATGGGATGTGTTCACAATTTGTGTCATTATATTGTACCACTGACAACCCCTCTCCAGACTCTAACTGGATAAAATCTACATCCTCTTAATTTCATTTAATAATACATCCTCCAATACTGTATATGCATTATAAAAAAGTCAATTGTCTAAATAGCAGCTAGTAACTCATCTAAAGACGAGGCTGCTCTAAGATCCCCTTTCATTTTGCTAACTTTTTTTATTTCATGTTCCTTTACCTGTTCACATTAGCATTGTTGTTCCTGGGGATTTTCTCATAACAGAAATGTGGTCAGTTTTAAATTCTGTAGCTTCAAGGGTGGATTAGATATAATGGATTAGATCCAATAGATCCCTCTTTGGCATAATCCAAGCGGTGACCTAAGACATTCATCTTTAAAGCTTAAATCGCTTTGTGAATTGAGATGTTTAGCAATCTCCTTCCTTTTCACTTGTAAAAATTTGCCTTCCAGCTGCCATTTCCACAGGGGAAAACTGTCACAAAGCATCTAGGAAACTAACAAAGACTACTGTAGAGAACAAAACTGTAAAAGAAGTGAAGCAGCCAGTATTTATTAACAAAAAGATATCAACATCAGTGTTTAGACACAACTGAAAATTTAATAGAATAATCTTGTTTCAAGTCCCAGCAAGACGATCAATATTGCAGTGATCCAACAACCTATGCTATGGATACAAGCAAGGCAGAAGCAGGTCAGTTTTATGGTAATGTGTAACTGTTTGTCAATACAGCATTAGAAAATCATACTAACAATATGAAACTGAATTGGAATGCTAAAGTTGGAAGTCAAATAACATTTGCAACAAAATTTATCAAACAAAGAGGAAACAAATTAACACAACATTGCCTGGAAAAATCTTTATATAAATACCCAACAACCTAAAAGAAATTCTCCATAACAATTCTGCATACTAAAATCAAATTGATTATATACCCTGCAAGCAAAAATAGAAATCCTGACACTGGCTAAAGATGAAGCAGACCAAAAACAATCTGCAAAGAAAATAAGGTGGTTGAAAAAGGAAAATTAAGAAAGGTCAAAAGCAAAAGACAAAACCTTAAGAAGACCATCTGCAACTTACAGTTGAGCTAAAGAAGAAGCAAGCAATTATCTCTAAATAATTCAGAAATTCAATGTAACTATCAAATGAAGTATAAAGATATTTTTTTAAAAAATATGGAAACTTTTTGTACAAAGTTGAGCAAGATAAAAGATCTACTAGACAAGAAGAGATTGGAAGAATACAAAGAAGAACCTCAAAAAAGAATCACAAAATCAAATCCATGAAATATTGTACATGAAGATTTGATGACTGAACTAGAGCCAGACATTCTGGAAAATGAAGTTAAATGACCTCAGAAAATACTGCTTAGAACAAAGCAATAGGATTGAATACGAGCAGAACTGTTTAAAATCTTATAAGATAATACCATTAAAGTGTTGCACATTTTTTATAATCAGGTTGGAAAACAGAACCACAGGACTTGAAAAGATAAACATATTCTAGTATTAAAAGGAAAACTGTTAAAGAATACTCAAATGATCAAATATCTCCTCTTAGATCATAAACCACCAAGATAATACTCAGGATTATCTTGATGGATTACAGGTAGTCTTCAATTTATGACTGTAATTGAGTAAGAAATTGCTGTTGTAAGCCACCCAGAATCACTTCAAAATGAGATGGCAGCAAATAAATTTAATAAATAAAAAATAAATGCCGTCCTTAAGTTGGTCACCATGTGACCAAGCCTGATTTTATGACTTTTTTTTTGCAGTGGTTGTTAAACAAATGTTGTGGTCATAAAGCAAACATCACAGTTATTAGGCAAATCCATTCTGCCCAGTGGGCATTTTTGCCATTTTTCTAAAAACTGCCGTAAATCATAGTGATCTGACCATGGGACACTGCAATCAGAAGTACATGTAACCAGTTGTCAAAGGTCCAAAATGTGATCATAGAGTGAGGGAGGGAGGATATTGGAATTTCCAGATCAGCTTGTAAGTATTTCCAGGGAGGTTCATTAGAACTTTGAATGCTCAGTAATTAATTGGTTGTTAAGTCAAGGCATGGTGGCGCAGTCGCTGGAATGCAATATTGCAGGCTAATTCTGCTGACTGCCAGCAGTTCTATCCTGACTGGCTGAAGGTTGACTCAGCTTTGATCCTTCCGAGGTTGGTAAAACGAGGACCCAGATTATTGGGGACAATATGCTAACTCTTAGAGAGGGATGTAAAGCACTGTGAAGCGGTATATAAGTCTAAGTGCTATTGTGACCTATACCATCTACAGGAGAATTTGCCTTTCTGATGTTCCAACTACATATTACAAGTGGGAAAATCATGGCCATGATAATGCATACTTTTTTGACAGTGGGGTGGGTTTTTTTGGCAATTTAATATTTTGTTTAAATATATCATAGTGTTTTTCTAAGTAGCAGATATTTAATGGCTGGAGTCACCATTCCTGAGAATTGTTGAGCCTAGAAGAAAAAAAACAGTTCATATTTCAAGTTTTACTTCCATTTATTTGCACTGGACTAGCATTGCCTGTGATGAAATCTTAGTTTGTTTTTTTAGTATTTACAGCAGACAATACTACTTCTAATCTTCAGCAAGAGTTTTTTTTAAGTGTTACTTTGAGATATACTAATTTTACAAAAGGCAAGCTGTTCAATTCAGAAGTACAATCAAAACGAATTTACCTTATAAAGCCCAAAAAATCCCAGGTCCCGCAAGACAGTAAGGGCACTAACACGTGGACCAGTTGTGATTTCTCCAGCCACTTGCAAGCGGATTTTAACAATTTCTAGTGGATTTGTGAATATTACTTGAGATCCTCCGGCCTAAAAAAGAAACAACATTGTGAATATGTTACCCCTCCAGCACAAACAGAAGATAAATTATCCCAAATGCTATTGGAACAGGACATCGTGTTCATTTCAGTAGTGTTTCCATGAGATTTTTACATTGAAATCAACAAAGGCAGTGGTGACGAGCACTATGAATTGAAAGTTAAACGTGGGAATTCATTCCTTAAAAGCATTTATTTTTATAGATTGCGAGATACGGCTTCTAAATGATAGACTGAAATACAAAGTAAAGTGAACAACAAACATAGACAACCTATATCTAACTGGCAAAAGGACTATGGACTGGAGAAAAAAAAGACAAATTACTGGATTCCCCCACCCCACCCCCCAACACATACATGCAATTCCTGAATTTTGGCATCTATACAAAATGTGCAGTGGAACACATGTATTTAAACAACTAATTTCCTCTCCTTTTTGAAAGTTATTGAACTGAAAAAAGGTATATCTCAAATAGCATTTTGCAGTTGTTTCTAGTAAATTTGAACCCCCATTTCTTTCTGCACAAGACAGCTCTATTTTATTTCATTTCTCCAACCAATAGAGTACTACCACTGAACTCAACAAATTAAAAGTTCTACTTGGACATAGGATAATGATTTGGTCGTTAAAAAGGCTACTTTGAACAACTGCTAATAAACCTTAAAAGAACATTTTGGACTAAGTATGTCATTAATAAGGTTATTCTTATGTACAGCAACTGATAAGCTTGGAGGAAAAATAGAGATACATAGAAGTAGTCCTGGCAGAACATGTATAGTATATATAGATATAATATAGATCCATATTCTTATTCTCTTGGTCACCTTTCCCTCAACCTTATCCTCCCCAGCCTTTAGGAACCTAGGGCATTTTGGCTGCACAGAGAAAGAATATAACTTTGTCTTTTATGCTAAATGGGAAGATATGAGTACCCTTTCCTCTATATACTATTTAATGTATTATCTTTAGTCTGGTAAGCAGGGGTGTCAAATTCGATTTCATTGAGGGGGGCAACAGGGTTATGTTTCACCTTTGGGAGCCGGGGTGGGCGTGGCCAGCTCGATGTCACTTGTGTCGGGGGTGCCAGTGGTGGCCCAAGTGCTCTGCCAGCGAAAACGGGCTCCCGAGCTCCATTTCGGCTGCAATGGCCTCCTGCAACCCTCTGCCAATGAAAACGGAGCTCAAGAGGGCCACATACAGTCCTCCTGAGCTCCGTTTTTGCTGGCAGAGGCACCGCGGGCTGGTCCTTCGCTGTTTCCAGGGTGGCCCCGCGGGCCAGATCTAAGCACCCCGTGGGCCAGATCCAGCCCCCAGGCCTTGAGTTTGACACCCCTGAGTAAGAGGAAAGAGAAAACAACTGTTAACTGACTTGGCCTAATCTGTGCAAAGGCCAGATTAATTAAAGTAATTAATTAGTTAATTAAAAATTAAGAAGGCATCATAGACCACAATACCCAATGCAACCTACTATTCCTCTCCCTAGATGCCCTTGTCCCCAACCCACTAGAGCAGATTTGGAAGGCTACTGGTGGCGAGATATCGGAATTCAGGAACAGTATTTCATGAAGGAAAGCTTTTTTCACTTTATTTACCTTACTGTAGCACAGTACACAATAGCACAGAGTTTCTAATAAAAAGCTACAAGTGTTTAAAATCAGTCAGTATCTCTTTTTGTACTTATAGATTATCACTACTGCAGAGTTTATCTCAAATGACCCATCAGGTGTGTTGGACTACCATAAATTTCAGTCAGAATGGTTAATGGGCTTACTGATTGAGAATTATAGAATTTGAAGTCCAAAACATCTGGAGAACACCATGATGGGAATATTGCCATAGCTGACATGGTCTCAGAAAAAATTTTCTTCAGACAGATGGAGGGAATCTGATACAGATGGGTTACATTAAGAAGGCAAAGATTATACTCCATTCTTAAAAGTCTTTGAAATCAACAGTAATACTTGGGGTTATTAGAGGCCAAATCATTGGTTTCTGATGTTCAGCCAAATATGTAACTAAAAGTCCACTCTGGGCCACTCTTTTCCAGTACCCTCCACAATTGATATGAGATTAGCTATTTCCTTCTATTTGATTTTAATGAGCTGCAACTGTATCATCTCTATACTGAAATAATTAAAACAAGAATGTAACAATATTCTTCCTTTTTTAAATAATAGCTTTGTGCCTTTAATATCTTAAACAACAGTAATCAGGTGGGATAACTAGAGGTTTCCATGTTGGCAACAGAACAAGATAGACAGATATATGATAGACAGACAGAAAGATATTGCAAGAGTATAAAACTAAGCAAAACTAATACAGAATAAAGAAAACAAAGAGAAGGAAAGGCACAAAGAAAGAAGTGCAGAAAGAAAAGATACAAAGTAGGATTTCTATTTAATTTCCTGTGCAGCAAATAAAAAAATGTAATTATAAAGTTATTTCATACACTAGGTTTCCAAGTGTTCGTTTTTTCCTATTATTTATTTTTTCTAATTATTTAAGGCACAAGCCATGTGTATTTTTTCTGTTTCATTCAAAAATTCTATAAAGGGTTTACAGATGTCTTTAGCTCTATTGTGGATAGTATCAGAACTTCACACTTTTGAGCATATAATAATCTCACTGCAATTGTCAAATATCTGGGACATCTGGGATGGAGTTTTCTCTTTTTCTACATCAGAAATGAATTTGTACCATTCTGCACTGAAAATAAACTTACTATCTACATGGAATTCTTGATTTAATGGAGCATCTTGTAGCAACCAGAAAGTTATTATTAAAATGCTACATAATGCAACTCAACAAAATGCTGGCAAAAGTGAAGAAATCATCAAGGTAGTGCTCACTAGATATTATGCGCTTTGCAATCACACAGTTCTTTGGACAGGAACAAGAAAGCCCCCTAGCTAAAAATCTGGATAATGGTTTCCTGTGTGACACACATATACACGCCAGAGGTGGTATTCAGCAGGTTCTGACCAGTTCTGGAGAACCGGTAGAGGAAATTTTGAGTAGTTTGGAATACCACCTCTGATTGGCACTGCCCCCATCTATTCTCTGCCTTCCAAGTCCCAGCTGATTGTCTGGGTCTTCTTTTGTTGCCCTGCACAGGAGAACTGAGCTGGAAAGCAGGTTAGTGGGGTTGGGAGGAAATGGAGATTTTACAGTATCCTTCCCCTACTACACCCACCAAGCCACATCCACCAAGCCATGTCCACCAAAACACGCCCACAGAACCGTTAGTAAAAAAAATTGAATCCCACCTCTGATACACGCACACATGCACACCCATGCAAGCACTTTAACATATTTAATAAAATAAATAAATAAATAATTTAATAAATTGTCTTTAGGTCTTGATAAGAAAGTGTAGGTAGAACAAAAATGGGGAAATGGGTAGTAAAATAACTTTCCTCCAGCTTAGTTCTCCATAGCAAGGATTTTCCAAATGGCATAATGGAAGGGTTTTTTATAGAGCATTATGAAAATAACAAATGAATTATATAAATAAATGTTCTGCCTCAAACAATGACCATATATTCTTATAATAAGTCAGGAGGAAAAGGAAAATTTAGTAACCCTAACCACTGGACAATTTTTGTCCTCTTAAAACTAAAGATAAATCTTACATATATGCATTACTCTGGTATACAAATATATGCATTCACACTCAACCGATTAAATGAAATGAAATAGCTGAAAAGTAGGAAAGTTTCAGTTAGAAACTTCAGTTAGAAAACAATAATTTAGAAAACAATAATTCTAAATTAATTTGGAACGTTATATAATGTTCAATTATTCATCAAATAAACATGAAACAATATTTTATTTCCAATTTTTTTATAATTCTAATTTTAACATTTCACATAATTACAAATCCTTCCTAAGCATCAATGTTTAGTAATATATTTTGTGTTCTGATAAAAACATTATCTATCAGAACACTGTTCATATTTATGCTTACCTATGGAACTCTTTATTAGTCTCGTCAGTCCATGTTACCAATCAGTAACAGATCACTGCTTAATAGTTTTATTATTAATTATATAAATATTAATAATTACTGAGCCTTAAGATGCCACTCAATATTTCTTGAGAAAAAGCAGAATAAAAATGTTATAAACAAACATTCCAACAAACAGAAGCTCTGTAATGTATTGTGCAAGAACCTTAAACTGTTAAAGGTGAAGGTTCCTGTCGCACATATTGCGACAGGAACCTAGTTGTTTCCGGCTCTAAGGTGCAGTGCTTATCTCCCTTACAAAGCCAAAGACATCTGTCCAAGACGTCTCTGTGGTCATGTGGTCGACATGACTAAACGCTGAAGGCACACGGAAAGCTGTTACCTTTCCACCAAAGTGGTCCCTATTTTTCGACTTGCATTTTTACATGCTTTCAAACTGCTAGGTTGGCAGAAGCTGGGACAAGTAATGGGAGCTGACTCTGTTACGTGGTGCTACGGATTCGAACCGCTGAACTGCCGACCTTTCTGACCGACAAGCTCAGTGTCTCAGACACTGAGTCACAACATCCCTTAAACTGTTGTGCTACTTTAAAAGAATTTACTTTGAACCTTCTACAATCTATAACACACACACACACACACACACACACACACACACACACACACACACACCAAGTTGTAAGAATCTATGCACAACACCTACAATGTTGTTACAACATTGCTCTACATTTATAAATAATAAATATATATTTTTATTATTTTAATGTGAAATGAGTTTAAAAACTGAATGGGTTTCAGAATTTCAGGTCTACCAAACACAAGGGTAATATCAATTTCTGTATGGTAGGTTAAGGTAGTTTAAATGCAAAACTGTTTTCTGTATTTTTTCAGTAATAATTCTAATTAAATTTTTAAAATAACCACAAATAAATCACAATATCACTAGACACCTCTCGATGGCAGTATAACCTTGAACACGTGTGTCTTTCTTCTTCATTCTTCCTCTGCATTCCCCAGGATAGAA